AGAACGAACGAATAACGGAAAAAGAAAAGAAGACAAGATGAACAAGGAAAGCGAATGGTGAAAAAGGAAGGTGAATAGTGAAAAAGGAAGGCGAATAGTAAGAGAATAATAAGGAGGCGAACAAAGAAAAAGAAAACGAATGGCAAGGGAGGCAAACAAAGATAAAGTGAACGAACAACGGGAGAAGCAAATGGCAAGGAAAAAAGAAAAATGGCAAAAGAATGGTGAGGAAGGCCAACAAGAAAAGAAGAAGCAAGAAAACAAGACGAACGGCAAGAAAAGTAAATGGTGAGAAAGGGAGATTAACAAGGAAAGGAGAATAGAATGAACAAATAACAGAAGAAGAAGCAAGAAAGACAAAACGAATGGCAAGGAAGGCAAATGGTAAGAGAATAATGAGAAGGCGAATAAAGAAAAAAGAAAACAAATGGCAAGGAAGGCAAATGATAAGAAAAAAAAGCGAACAAAAAAATAAGAAAGTGAGCAAACATGTTATCTGAAGACATATCACACAATACATATAAGAAGAATTTCTTAGCCCAAACAATCAAAATGATTAATAAGCTGGGAATGATCTTCTCAGATTCATACTGAAAAAATATATTCTAATGGAAAGAAAGACATATTACAATCAAAATCCTAATAAATGACTCCAAAGTATATGATAAAGCAATACTTAATCTGAAAAAACATAACATTATGTTTGTGGACCAGCTTATAAATAAAGAATTAGGTAGCCTCCTGAACTGAAAATTGATCCAGGAACTTTATAGCCAAGGACAAGGACCAGTCCCAAAATGGTATTTCTTAGTAAAACAGACATTGGCAAATGAATTTAGGGGTGCTGAAGACAAATTGGACAAGATACAATTGAGTAGAGCAAGACAGATCACTCTTTATACCAAAAAAGTCAATAGATTTAAGAAGATGGAGCTGGCAAGTGAGTATGAATAATATCAACAAAAAACTTTACTGGATCAGGAGCAAGAGAGTATGAACAACTATTAACAGTATGATTGAACAC